ACTCGGAAGAATTTACTGAGCTCTTTTTTCTGGTTTCGAATTTATGAGAAGGCGGGTTATAGTTAGTTTTCTTATTTTCCCGGGATCACTAAGAGATCATCGGCTGAAGGCACTAATCATGAAGTCTTATTTTTTATTGATTTGCAAGGGCCTGGTCCTAAAGGGACCGCTAATGAATGATGCCATGCTGTAATACAGCTTAATTTCTGGATCAGCAAATTAATAGATAGGATTAACATATTTGTTTCATATTTTGCGACGATCGTATCATTAACTGGAAGTATAATAGTCTTTTTTATTGATTTGCAAGGGTCTGATCCTAAAGGGACCGCTAATAAATGACGAAATGCTGTATGTAATTGCTAACGAGAATCTGACAATATCTTTCTCCTGTATATATACCAGCACTATATAAAACTGTCTAGTTGACGATGAGAGTTAAATCAACTAAATATGTCAGGCTTAGAATCAACCAAAGATCTTTCATACCAAGTACCAGAGAGACCCCACTCATCTCTTACCATCTATAGAAACCTTGCCTATAATATCTTGAAGTATCTTGGGGATGAAATGGTTAAGGATAAAGAAATTCCAGAACTAGAGCCGTGTTTCGAATGTACGAACAATATTCTGGGACTTCCTCTCAAAGCACTTACAATACTGTCATGTGGGCATCTGTTTCATAGATTGTGTATCGAAAAGAAGCTCATGATTACTAGGCCAGATGTGTGTCCATTCCCTGATTGTAGGATGAAAGTTGATATCATTTATCCAGTCTCTACCTCTGCTAGGAGAGGTTCACAATCATCCCAATCAAGTGGAACTTCAGCCTTATCTAATTTGATGGGTGAAAAGTTTAACCTATTTTCATCAATACTAGAAGATCCGATGGAGAAAGTTGAGGATATCTGCCCAGCCGAAGATAGCAGTAAGAAACGAACTAGTACATCTACTGAAGAGTCATCTAGTAAGAAAAAGAAGACATCTGATAAGAAAGGCGATTCCGCTATATTGAAAAAGCTTGTTAAGGTACTAAAGGATGATAGTATCAATCAAGAATTGTCATTCCCCACCCAGTCACTCGAAGATAGTTATACTCATCTCTATAAAGAAATCGTTAAAGCTGAAACTCAAAATGATTCTGCTTGTCAAAGGGTTTTATTTTGTTATTTCCAATTTGGAAAGAAGATATATGAACGCCTGGACTATTATAAGAATAAAAAAAAGTATCATGATTGCATGGCCCAGAGTAAGGTAGATAAAGAAATTAAGGAGCAGTTGCCTAAGGGGTTACTGATACTACTCACTGGAAGCAAACAGAGAGAGCTCAAAAGATATATAAGCTATTTCTCGAAATTGGTGTTGATAAGATATAACGAGTTAAATCATATTCGGCACTAACAATTTTGAAGTTAAGTTGGGAAAAAATCAATTATATCATAGATAGCTTTAGAGAATAGTGAGACTATTACTGCGCCACATAATTACGTGACTTGCTGACCTCGCGGTCAGTAGGTTCATTTTATTTTTGTATGCCATCTAAAATAATAAAGTTCACCCATATTAGGCCTTTCTCATTTTTTTTATTTATGTGTATCCTGTAAATGCTATATGAGTACTTATCAAATAAAATGATATATACAATCATGAGGGATCTGCAAACTAATCTACATACGTATGAATATAAAATTACCCTTTTTTCTTTACTATTCACTCAGAAATTTCGTTTACCTTGGATAAGAAAAATCATATGACCAAAATTTCTGAGACCAGCCGATCATCTCGTGATTTGAGTTGCAGGAAGTTGCGAGAAAGTTCTGGAAACTGACCAGGAAAGAGTCAAAGTTATACAAATTGAAAGTAACGGAAGAGCGTTGGGGACTAATGAGATGCTGGAAAGGAGTTAAGTGTACCGTAATACAATGATGATCATGTTGTGTATTGTCTCAGATCTAATTTAACCGAATCAAAAATTCAATTATCTCCTTCGGCTAATCCCTGATAATCACAAGAGATCCATAAACTGTATGTAAATATAAAATTAGCTTAGCCTAAGATATGATCCTATATAAATCGAATAAATATGAATCTGATATTTATTATAGTATACTTGTTACAAACTACTATAAATCATTGAAATTGCTATAAATCTCTTAATCGCTAAAACACTATAAATCAATAAAATCAATATAATTTGCTA